CTCTTAGAAAAACCTTTTAGAACTGTTTAGAAAGCTCCAGATTCAGTTAGAACTGTCTAGAACCATTTGGAATGCTCTAGAATTATTTAGAACTAAAAAAACGACAATTTGAGGGTTTTTTGAAATTATTTCAAATGACAAAATTGTAAAAGAATGTTTTTTCTATTAAATGGTGAAAATTTCTTTTTTCTATCTTGAATGGTTTTCGAGATAATTGGAGGTTTTTTGTGTTGTAATTTAAGAAAAGTTGTGTATTTTTTTTGAAAAATCTCGAAATATTTCATCAATTTGAGGTTTTTTAAATTATTCAATTTACAAAATTGTAAAAGAATGTTTTTTCTATTAAATGGTAAAAATTTCTTTTTTCTATCTTGAATTGTTTTCGAGATAATTGGAGGTTTTTTGTGTTGTAATTTAAAGAAAAGTTGTGTATTTTTTTTTGAAAAATCTCGAAATATTTCAGCAATTTGAGGGTTTTTTTTTAAATTATTCAATTTACAAAATTGTAAAAATGTTTTTTCTATAAAATAGTGAAAATTTCTTTTTCTATCTTGAATGGTTTTCGAGATAATTGGAGGTTTTTTGTGTTGTAATTTAAGAAAAGTTGTGTATTTTTTTAATCTCGAAATATTTCATCAATTTGAGGTTTTTTTTTTTAATTATTCAATTTACAAAATTGTAAAAGAATGTTTTTTCTATAAAATGGTGAAAATTTCTTTTTTCTACCTTGAATGGTTTTCGAGATAATTGGAGGTTTTTTGTGTTGTAATTTAAGAAAAGTTGTGTATTTTTTTTGAAAAATCTCGAAATATTTCAGCAATTTAAGTTTTTTTTAATTATTCAATTTACAAAATTGTAAAAGAATGTTTTTTCTATAAAATGGTGAAAATTTCTTTTTTCTATCTTGAATGGTTTTCGAGATAATTGGAGGTTTTTTGTGTTGTAATTTAAGAAAAGTTGTGTATTTTTTTTGAAAAATCTCGAAATATTTCAGCAATTTAAGGTGTTTTTTAAAATTATTCAGTTTACAAAATTGTAAAAGAATTTTTTTTTCTATAAAACTGTGAAAATTTCGTTTTTCTATCTTTTGAATGGTTTTCGAGATAATTGGAGGTTTTTTGTGTTGTAATTTAAGAAAAGTTGTGTATTTTTTTTGATAAATCTCGAAATATTTCAGCAATTTAAGTTTTTTTAATTATTCAGTTTACAAAATTGTAAAAGAATTTTTTTTTATAAAATGGTGAACATTTCTTTTTTCTATCTTTTGAATGGTTTTCGAGATAATTGGAGGTTTTTTGTGTTGTAATTTAAGAAAAGTTTTGTATTTTTTTTTGAAAAATCTCGAAATATTTCATCAATTTGAGGTTTTTTTTAAATTATTAAATTAACAAAATTGTAAAAGAATGTTTTTTCTATAAAATGGTAAAAATTTCTTTTTTCTATCTTGAATGGTTTTCGAGATAATTGGAGTCTTTTGTGTCGTTATAAATTAAAAAAAAGTTGGGTATTGTTTTTGAAAAACCTTGAAATAATTGGGCAATTTAAGGATTTTTCGAAATTATTCGAATTACAAAGCTGTAAAAGGATGCTTTTTCTATAAAATGGTGAAAATTTCATTTTTCTATCTTAAATGGTTTTCAAAATAATTGGAGTTTTTTATGTTGTAATTTAAGAAAAGTTTTTTGAAAAACCTCTTAGAAAAACCTTTTAGAACTGTTTAGAACGCTCCAGAATCTCGCTGGGATTATTGCAAAGGAAAATAAATTTAATATTCAAGTAGTACTAATTCGAGTCAATTCAAGTAATTTATTCGCGTATAAAAGATATAGTTAACACATCATATTAATTGGATTAATTATTGGTAATTAAGGGATATTGAGTAGTAATACATAAATATTATATCTTAGATAATATACATAATGCTATATACGTAATTAAGTTGTAAAATTAATTAATTAGCGATGGACTAGAAGATTACTTGATTAATACGATCTCTAATTTGCTTCTTTTATATAAGAAAGAAATCTAACAAAAAAAATATAAAAAAAATAATACTCTCTAATATTTTCCGGAATTTTCACGATTGCGACGTTGCCGAATCCTCCATACATTTCCTCGTTTTATTACCTTAAAAAATACCGACCACATTGCACTCTCCATCTCTTCCCTTTAGGACAACAATTTGACCAAGCGGTGTTGCCGGCCGCTCTCGGAATTTCGGAAATCTTCCAAAATCTTCGAAATAGAAAAAAAACAAACAATTTTTGGTATACAGGGCGCGTATACGAAATAAACGAATGTACAGGGTGTCCCACCAGAAGAGGTAACCGGCTGTATATCAGAAAAAAATCTTATGAATAAATTGGCAAAAAGAAAATGCTGGAAATACTTTTTAAGTCTCTAAAATGGCCGCTAGGGGGAGTATCCGCCATCTTGATTTTAAAAAGACGTTTTTTTCACAATTTTCTTTAATAAAGGTATTAGAAATGTATTTTATTTTGATAGTTGGGATAATTGCGATTATTTTTTGTTTCATATTTTTGATTCTATCTTGTAAAATAAAGTGGTGGGGGTTGTTTGAATATTGTGACAAATAAATGTTAATAACTTTTAAACGGCTAAACGGATTTTGATAAAAATAAAATCGTTGAAAAGGGCTTTTTTCGGTCTATAATTTACACTATATAAGATATTATTGCAAATACTTGCTTGGCCGCAAGAGGGCGTTTTCCGACATTACTTTAAAAAACACCGATTTTCTCAAAAAATTTAAATGCAACGGTGTAACTTTTTCTTTGGAGAAATACAGTCAAATAATTGCCAAACAAGCCTGTGAAAACCGCATCTCCATATCTCATTCCTAACCGGAAATATATTTAAAAAAAAAGGAAAATGTCTAGAAATTGGGTATATTTTACAAGATAGAGTCAAAAATATGAAACAAAAAAGAATCGCAATTATCCCAACTAGCAAAATAAAACAAATTTATGATACCTTTATTAAGGAAAATTTCGAAAAAAAACGTCTTTTCAAAATCAAGATGGCGGATACTCCCCCTAGCGGCCATTTTAGAGACTTAAAAAGTATTTCTAGCATTTTCTTTTTGCCAATTTATTCACAAGATTTTTTACCGCAAGTCTCTATGACAATTAGTTTCTGATATACAGCCGGTTACCTCTTCTGGTGGGACACCCGGTATATATACAGCGTGTCTACTTAAGTTGGCAACATATGGGAAACTTTTTTGTTATTAATTTTAGGAAAAAAAGTTATTCTTCATAAAAAGTTCTGCATGTTTTAAAACCTAAAATACAATCATCAGATATCTAATTTTTTTCAGTCGTATACGAGGTTTGTCAGAAAATATGAATTTTGCTCAAAAGTAAAGTAAATCTATTTTGTAAAATATTGGAAATTGTTATCTGTTATCTCTTTATTCGTTAAAAATTTGATTACATTTACATCTCTTAACTTCTATGTTGCATTAGTTTGATTATGCATTGAAATAAATGATAACAAAATAATTTATTTTACAATAATTATCGACTACATAAAAACATTAAAAAATGTAATTTTTAGTCCTGATCAACTTTTCTTAATAACAATTTCCGATATTTTCAAAAATAAAGGTACTTTACTCTTGAGTACAAAACACATTTTTTTGACAAACCTCGTATACGGATTAAAAAAATTGTTATCTGATGGTTGTATTTTAGGTTTTAAAACATGCAGAACTTTTTATTAAGAATAACATTTTTTCCTAAAATCAATAACAAAAAAGTTTCCCATATGTTGCCAACTTAAGTGGACGCGCTGTATATATATACGAGGAGCGCGCGATAAATAAATAGCGACTCACCTTGTAGGAGAGCTCCTTTTTGAGTATGGACGTGCTCCGTTCGTTGCCCGAGCAACAGGCCAATAGAGTCGGATAGAGCACGTTCGATAGAGATTCGACGGAGAAATAGGGAAACGGCAGCGAGCAGAGCTGTTGCAACACCGACGGCGGCTGGCCGCTGATCAAAAGCATCTGGAATTTGATGTGAAAAAATTTATATGAAAAAAAATATTTTTTTTCAAATTATTTGACTTGAATAATTCAAATATTTTAGACGCTCCCTGTATATGTTACATTATAGAAACGGGAAACTTGGATGTTGGCAAAAATGTGAAAACATGGAAAAAATGGAAAGCATGGCAACAGTGAAAAAACATGAAAAAGTGACAAAACTTGAAAGAAGTGGAAAAACATGGTAAAAATGAGAAAAACGTGGAAAAAATGGAAAGCATGGCAACAGTGAAAAAACATGAAAAAGTGACAAAACTTGAAAGAAGTGGAAAAACATGGCAAAAATTAGAAAAACATGGAAAAAATGGAAAGCATGGCTACAGTGAAAAAATATGAAAGAGTGACAAAACTTGAAAGAAGTGGAAAAACATGGCAAAAATTAGAAAAACGTGGAAAAAATGGAAAGCATGGCAACAGTGAAAAAACATGAAAAAGTGACAAAACTTGAAAGAAGTGGAAAAAGATGACAAAAAGTGAAAGAACGTGGAAAAATTGGAAAAACATGTCAAAAGTGACAAAACATGGAAAAAGTGAAAGACCACGAAAAATGGAAAAACATGAAAAAGGGGAAAAAAACGTCAAAAATGGCAATACATGGTAAAAGTGAAAGACCATGATAAATGAAAAAAACATGAAAAAAAAGAGGAAAAAACATGTCAAAAGTGACAAAAACCTAGAAAACCTGAAAGACCATGAAAAATGGAAAAACATGAAAAAGTGGAAAAAACGTCAAAAGTGAAAAAACATGGAAAAAGTGGAAAACCATGAAAAATGGAAAAAACATGAAAAAAATAGGAAAAAACATGTCAAAAGTGACAAAACATTGAAAAAGTGAAAGACCATGAAAAATAGAGTGTCAAAAAGTGGAAAAAAACGTCAAAAATGGCAAAACATGGTAAAAGTGAAAGACCATGATAAATGAAAAAACATGAAAAAAAGAGGAAAAAACATGTCAAAAGAGACAAAACATGGAAAAAGTGAAAGACCATGAAAAATAGAAAAACATGAAAAAATGGAAAAAAACGTCAAAAATGGCAAAACATGGTAAAAGTGAAAGACCATGATAAATGAAAAAAACATGAAAAAAAAGAGGAAAAAACATGTCAAAAGTGACAAAAGCATGGAAAACCTGAAAGGCCATGAAAAATGGAAAAACACGAAGAAGTGGAAAAAATGTCAAAAGTGAAAAACATGGAAAAAGTGAAAAAAGTGGAAAAACATGAAACATTGGAAAAACATGTCAAAAGTGCAAAAAACACGAAAAAAGTGAAAAAAACGTGAAAAAAGTAAAAAAACATGGAAATTATGGATAAACACGAAAAATAATGGAAAATAAATTACCGTTATTTTATTTGCATATTTTTAATTTCCTTCGCACATTTTTTTAAAGTATTATTGGCACATTTACGCCCAAATTTCTCGTAATTATATTTGCATATATACCATTCTCTAACGACGATGACGATGAAACGCGAGAGAAAGAGAGAGACAGACACACAAAAAAAAATGACACACATACATAAACAAAAAAAAAAAAAATCGCATCGAAAATATCAATATATAGACATCACAGTCATCCACAATGCACCAGGGCTCACCTGATTATCGTTGTTTTCGACGGCGAAATAGCCGGTCACCATGACGACCTGGTGCAGCAAATCCCGATAGGCCGATTCGGCGTCGGCGTCGCCGTCGTCGACGTCGGCGTCTTTGCCGCGCTGGCACTTGGGCAGGGCCGGCGTTGCGCAACACCACAACAAATGGCCCGCTATGTGGCGGAATTGCAGCGAAATGCCTTCGGCGCCCAAAGCCACCTGCGATTCGGCGAGAAAAGAAAAATGATAATTATTTTTTTTTTACATGGGCGTCGTAAATATGATATTTTAAGACCTTTTTAAAACTTCAAGTTGTTGTTATATCGTCTCGTTAAAGTGCGGGTTATTGTTATGAAGCTGTTTTTTGATGATTCTGTACTGATTAATGCTAGTTAATTGTTACATTTTAATTTCTTTTTTTTTGAAGCTTCACAAGGTCTTATAACGTTAACTTGAAGCTTTAGAACGTCTTTTAACAGTATTTTCCAGTATCACAAAGTCTTATAACATTTTATTGAAGCGTCATGTGTTTTAATGTAATGCATGTAATATTTTAATTTCCTCTTTTTTTTGAAGTTTCACAAAAGGTTTATAACATTAACTTGAAGTACAACAAGGTCTTAAACCATTAACTTGAAGCTTTAGAGCGTCTTTTAACAGTATTTTCCAATATCACAAAGTCTTATAACATTTCATTGAAGCGTCATGTGTTTTAATGTAATGCATGTAATATTTTAATTTCCTCTTTTTTTTTAAGCTTCACAAAAGGTTTATAACATTAACTTGAAGCTTTAGAAAGTCTTATAACAGTATTTTCCAATATCCCAAAGCCTTATAACATTAACTTGAAGTACAAGAAGGTCTTAAACCATTAACTTGAAGCTTTAGAAAGTCTTATAACAGTATTTTCCAATATCCCAAAGCCTTATAACATTAACTTGAAGTACAAGAAGGTCTTAAACCATTAACTTGAAGCTTTAGAATGTCTTATAACAGTATTTTCCAATATCACAAAGTCTTATAACATTAACTTGAAGTACAAGAAGGTCTTAAACCATTAACTTGAAGCTTTAGAAAGTCTTATAACAGTATTTTCCAATATCCCAAAGCCTTATAACATTAACTTGAAGTATAACAAGGTCTTAAACCATTAACTTGAAGCTTTAGAAAGTCTTATAACAGTATATTCTTTAAAATCACAAAGCCTTACAACATTCTGTTGAAGCATTTCATTGAAAGGCAAATATGCAAAAAGCTTTTTTTGTTAATGTTATTATTTGTTAATAAAAATAAACTGGATGTTTTGCATAATGGGAACGGAATAACTTTATTAGCTAATTTTCATTCCTAATCGTTTAAAAACATGGACAGAATGGAAAATATGAAAATATGAAAAATTGAAAAGCTTGGCAAAAATGAAAAAACATGTCAAAAGTGGAAAAATATGGCAAAAAGTGAAAAAAGTAGGAAAAGTGAGAAAACATGGAAAAATTGGAAAAAACATGCCTAAAGTGGAAAAACATGAAAAAGTGTAAAGAACATGTCAAAAGTGAAAAAACATGAAAAAAGTGAAAAAAACACGAAAAATGTAGAAAAACATGTGAAATATAGCATGACAAAAAGTGAAAAAACGTGGAAAAAGTGAGAAAACTTGGCAAAAGGTTAAAAACTTGAAAAAGTGAGAAAACAAAGAATAATTGGAAATAACATGTCAAAAGTAGAAAAAAACATAAAAAAGTGGAAAAACATTTCAAATGTGAAAGAACATTACAAAAAGTGAGATAACGTTAAAAAATTGTAAAAACATAAAAAAAGTGAAAAAAATGTGGAAGAAGATAAAAAAGTTAAAAAACATGAACAAAGGTGGAAAAACATGACAAAAAATAAAAAAAAAAGTGGAAAAATTGGAAAAACATGTCAAAAGTGGAAAAACATGGAAAAGGTGGAAAAACATGAAAAACGTGGAAAAAATGAAAAAGTAGAAAAACATGAAAAAAAAAAAATAAAAACCATGAAAAGTGGAAAAACAGAAAATATGGACAAACATGAACAAATACAAATACGAACATATTTTTTAAAGTAATAATTAACCCCGATAATCTAATTACACATATCATTCTATACAATCCGATCAATTCAAGCGAATTATTAATCATCAATTTTTCTCTTCATCTTCTTCTTCCGATGCTCAATCTACACACATAATAATTGTGTACCGTGCGACCCAAAATAAACACATATCAGTCCTTTATGCGTGCGTATGCGTAAAGGTCTCGGGAGGCCATGCACGCATCTTCGGGACCGTTGATTATATTTGCACTCGACATCGAAGCCATCTCTGCGAGGGGATTGTTTGTTTTAAAATAGCCGCCTATACATATAGTATAAGAGAAATATCGGTTAATTAACGTATCTATCTGTATGCACCGCCACTTAACTTCCTTCGACTTATTTGTACACAAACGTACAGGGTGTCCCAACATAAAGGAACGTTCGAGCGAAACATGTTAAGACTTCGAGGGAGCTTGGAAAATATGGCGAAATATCCATGCAAATATGCACTAGAAACCTTCAAAATATGCACTTATATACGCGTTTATGCTCGATGAAAACAAACAGAAACAAACAGATGTTATGTATTTGTAAAAATAAGTACAACCTTTTGCTTAAAAAAAAAACGAAGGAATTGCTTCGAGGAATATGCGTAAAAAGTAGAGAAGAAAGGAAGATTTTTGCTTCGAGGACACTGCGGTTGCTTTAAAGCAAAAGGTTTTATTGTTTTCGAATCATTGTATAAGGTTTTAGAAGAATTTTCTCTTATTTTTTTGTCTCTACCTTTTACTTCACAGTAAATGCTTTATTTTTATAAATATGGACTATTAAATAATTTTTTTGAAAATTTTGAACATTTCTAGAACCATTTAGAATGCTCCAGATTAACTTAGAACATTTCTAGAACCATTTAGAATGCTCCAGATTTACTTAGAACTGTCTAGAACCATTTATAACGCTCCAGATTCACTTAGAACATTTCTAGAACCATTTAGAATGCTCCAGATTAACTTAGAACTGTCTAGAACCATTTAGAATGCTCCAGATTTACTTAGAACTGTCTAGAACCTTTTAGAACGCTTCAGATTCACTAAGAACATTTCTAGAACCATTTAGAATGCTCCAGATTTACTTAGAACTGTCTAGAACCATTTAGAATGCTCCAGATTTACTTAGAACTGTCTAGAACCATTTAGAATGCTCCAGATTTACTTAGAACTGTCTAGAACCATTTAGAATGCTCCAGATTTACTTAGAACTGTCTAGAACCATTTAGAACGCTTCAGATTCACTGAAATCATTTCTAGAACCAATTAGAATGCTCTAGATTTACTTAGAACTGTCTAGAACCATTTAGAACGCTCCAGAATCACTTAGGACATTTCTAAAACCATTTAGACTACATCAGAACCATATAGAATGCTACAGATTTATTTAGAACATTTTTAGAACCATTCAGAATGCTCCAGAATCACTTAGAACTGTCTTCGAACCGTTTAGAAAGCATTTTCTCAGAACGATCATTTCGGCTTACCCGAATTTTCCAGTAATTTGGGATTAGCGCAGTACGCATTAAAAGTAACAAAATTTTCCAAAGTAGTTTTTGAAATAATCGAAGTTTTATTAAATAAGGTTTGAATTTTCTTTTTTTTTTTGAGTTATCTAGTTGGCCATTTGATGGCCATTTTATGGCCTTATGTCAATCCGACAAATGAAATCAGTTCTTGAAATTATAGCAAAAATGTCAATGTTGGGTTATAATGTATAATGGGTCAATGTAGGATTATTTCAAAAACTGCATTGGTCACTGTTAAAAAATACATTTGAAATAACAAAGTTGTGACCACTTTAATTTGGTCAAGTTTGTCAGACAATTTTAAACGTCCTGTACATGGATTCTGAAAATACAGTTTAGTTTCATTTAGTAGTATGTCTGGATAACATCGATACTCAATTTCAAGCTTCTAGCTCCATTATTAACAGAGATATCACAGAAAATACATTCGACTGTTTTTTCCAAAAAATATCAAAAAAATTGTAATATCTTAAAAATGGTGCATTTTTGGCATATGGTGTTATAATCAAAGTCTAGTTAAAAAAGGCCATAGAATTCAAAAATGAAGTTAAAAATGGCACTTTCCATATAAAACAACGAAGTTGGTGTCAACTTCCGGTATAACCGGAAGTGTAATCAAAACGAAAATATTTTAGATCAATTCATATTATCCAAAAAATACTATAACCAAAATTTCAGATTTTTAAGTCTTTCCATTATCGAGATACTTCCAATGGACGGTTACCGTGAAAAGCCCTGTATAGGCACTAGATCTCTCCCATACCCACATACGACTCCCCGGGGACGATAGAGTCGCGTGCCAGACGTCCCGTCTGCGGGGCGCGCGCCCCTTTCGGGCCCCCATGGGGGGCCCCGCAAAATCAACTCTCGATTTCGCCGGGGCCCTATCTCCGATAATATGATAAATAATTATCGGACGTGCGTCCGTATACGCTTTTTCGCACGGCGGTTAGTATCATCAATATCATCATCATATATCATCATCATCATCATCATCATCATCATCATCATCATCGTCGTCTCGACAGCCGCGCGAGATGAGTTAAAAAAATTATATTTCACAGCCCATCCGGGTCGGCTGGGAGTCGCGAATATTAAGTCGTATTAAGTCGTAGGAAGCCTTGCGAAGCTTCAAGTTTATCTGTTATATAACTTGGCGAAACTTGGAGAAACACATGATTGTTCAATGGAAATGTTACAAGGCTTTGTGGTGTAGGAAAATGCTGTTATCAGGCATTCTAAAGCTTCAAGTTACTGTTATAGGGTCATGTAAAGGTTCTGGTTACTGTTGTAAGGCCTTATAAAGCTTCAAGTAACTGTTTTAAGGCTTTATGGGTCTTCAAATAACTGTTATAAGGCCTTGTAGAGCGTTCAGTTACTGTTATAAGACCTTGTAAAGCTCCAAGTTACTGTTAAGGAAGTTTTAAAGCTTCAAGTAAATGTTATAATGCATTGTAAATCTTCAAGTTATTGTTATAAGGCCTTGTAACGCCTCAAGTTACTGTTATAATGTGTTGTAGAGCTTAAAGTTACTGTAATAATGCCTTGTAAAGCTTCAAATTTCTGTTTTAAGGTCTTGTAAAACTGCAAATTACAGTAATAAGGCCTTGCAGAGCTTCCAGTTACTGTTATAATGCCTCGTAAAGCTGCAAGTTATTGTTAAAAAAGCTTCAATGTACTATTGTAACGGTTTACAAAGATTCAAGTTACTGCTATAAGTCCTCGTACAACTTCTAGTTATCGTTACAAGATCTTGCTAAGATTCAAGTTACTGTAATAAGGCCTTTGTAAAGCCTCAATTTACTATTATAAGGCCTTGTAAAGCTACAAGCTAATGGTATAAGACCTTGTAAAACCTCAAATAAATGTTTTAATGTATTCTAAACCTTCAAGCTACTATTGTAAGGCCTTTGTAGAACATCAAGTTACTATTCTAAGGCCTTATAAACCTGCAAGTTAACGTTAAAAGCTTCAAGGTACTGTTATAAAACCACGCAAAACTTCAAGTTACCGTTATAAGACCTTTTGCTTCAAATTTCGCTAAATAACACATCGTAAAACTTCAAGTTATCATCACGATAGACCTAAATAAGAGGACTACTGTTATAAGACCTTTTGCAAAACATCAAATTTCGGTAAATTATAGTAAAACTTCAAGTTATCGTCGGGATAGACCTAAATAAGAGTGACTCACCTGGAATTTTTCGATGTCCAATTCGGCCACTCTCTTCATCAACCTGAAGGTGACCGAGGCGAGATCGAGACAGGGTTTGGGCAGTGTGGGGGGCCGTTGCCCGTCCACCCTGGGCGTCGAATCGGGCGGCAGGAGCAGCCCGTACAACATGGATACGCAGCCCAGCAATTCGGTGGCTAATAAAGTGCTCACCTGGAATTTTTTATTTGGGGGTTATTTCAAATGGACCACCCTGTATATTGATGGTTTTTGGAAATTTTAGGGTGCTTTTGTTTGAAATACTTGTTTCTAAAATGCATAGTTTTTGAGTTGTAAATTTTTCTCGATTGGTTTTCGAGATATTTGAGGTTTTTTAAAGAGTTGTGCACTGGAAAATTAGTTTTTTGTTCATGTAATTGTACTAAAAAGTTAGAAATATCTAAGAAATTTTGTGGGTTTTTGAAAAAAATGTATTCTTTGAAAGTTGTAGAGAATTATTTTTTCTATAAAATGATGAAGATTTCGTTCTATAATCTCGATTGGTTTTCGAGACATTTGAGGTTTTTTAAAAAGTTGCACTTAAATATTATTGTTTTTGTTCAAATATTTGTACTAAAAAATTGGAAATATCTGGGAAATTTTGGGGTTTTTGAAAAAAATGTATTCTTTGAAAGTTGTAGAGAATTGTTTTTTCTATAAAACTATGAAGATTTCGTTCTATAATTTCGATTGGTTTTCAAGATAAATGAAGCTTTTTAAAAAGTTGTGCACTTGAAAATTAGTTTTTGTTCATGTAATTGTACTAAAAAATTAAAAATATCTAAGAAATTTTGTGGGTTTTTGAAAAAAATGTATTCTTTGAAAGTTGTAGAGAATTGTTTTTTCTATAAAACTATGAAGATTTCGTTCTATAATTTCGAATGGTTTTCAAGATAAATAAAGATTTTTAAAGAGTTGTGCACTTAAAAATTAGTTTTTTGTTCAAGTAATTGTACTAAAAAATTAAAAATATCTAAGAAATTTTGTGGGTTTTTGAAAAAAATGTATTCTTTGAAAGTTGTAGAGAATTGTTTTTTCTATAAAATGATGAAGATTTCGTTCTATAATTTCGATTGGTTTTCAAGATAAATGAAGCTTTTTAAAGAGTTGTGCACTTAAAAATTAGTTTTTGTTCATGTAATTGTACTAAAAAATTAAAAATATCTAAGAAATTTTGTGGGTTTTTGAAAAAAATGTATTCTTTGAAAGTTGTAGAGAATTGTTTTTTCTATAAAATGATGAAGATTTCGTTCTATAATCTCGATTGGTTTTCGAGACATTTGAGGTTTTTTAAAAAGTTGCACTTAAATATTATTGTTTTTGTTCAAATATTTGTACTAAAAAATTGGAGATATCTGGGAAATTTTGGGGTTTTTGAAAAAAAATGTGTTCTTTGAAAGTTGTAGAGAATTGTTTTTTCTATAAAACTATGAAGATTTCGTTCTATAATTTCGATTGGTTTTCAAGATAAATGAAGCTTTTTAAAAAGTTGTGCACTTGAAAATTAGTTTTTGTTCATGTAATTGTACTAAAAAATTAGAAATATCTAAGAAATTTTGTGGGTTTTTGAAAAAAATGTATTCTTTGAAAGTTGTAGAGAATTGTTTTTTCTATAAAATGATGAAGATTTCGTTCTATAATCTCGATTGGTTTTCGAGATAATTGAAGTGTTTTAATGAGTTGCATTTTAAAATTAGTTTATTGTTCATGTAATTATACTAAAAAAGTCAAAATATCCATGAAATTTTGTTGGATTTTGAAAAAAAATTATTTTTTGAAAGTTGTAGAGGATTTTTTTTCTATAAAACTATGAAGATTTCGTTCTATAATCTCTATTAGTTTTTGAGATATTTGAAGTTTTTTAAAAAGTTGTGCACAAAAATTAGTTTTTTGTTCAAGTAATTGTACTAAAAATTAGAAATATCTAGCAAATTTTGTGGGTTTTTGAAAAAAATGTATTCTTTGAAAGTTGTAGAGAATTGATTTTTCTATAAAATTATGAAGATTTCGTTTTATAATCTCGATTGGTCTTCGAGATATTTGAAGTTTTTTTAAGAGTTAGGCACTTTAAAATGAGTTTTCTGTTCATATATTTGCACTAAAAAAATTGGACATATCCTGGAAATTTTGGGGTTTTTGAAAAAAAATTATTCTTTGAAAATTGTAGAGAATTGTTTTCTCTATAAAATGATGAAGATTTCGTTTTATAATCTCGATTGGTCTTCGAGATATTTGAGGCTTTTTAAAGAGTTGCACTTTAAAATTAGTTTTTTGTTCAAGTAATTATACTAGAAAAAGTCAAAATATCTAGGAAATTTTGAAGTTCTTGAAAAAAATTTATTCCTTGAAAGTTGTAGAGGATTATTATTTCTATAAAATGATAAATATTTCGTACTATAATCTCGATTGGTTTTCGAGATAATTAAAGTTATATTATGAATTTCAACGAACATTTTGCTCCCCACTACAGAGTTTGTGCATATTTTTCTCGCGGTCCAAATCATTCATTTTTGTTTTCCCCGTATATTCAATGCAATTTTTTAAACATTTTATACCTGATAGCGAATCTACAAGTCACGCAGACAATTTTATCAAGAATAATTTTTCTTGTGTGAAACGAAACGTAAGTTAAACTTTTTCCCCATTTGTATACAACTCATTGGGACACACTGTATGTAGAATACGTACCAAATGCGTGGCATCGGAATCTTCAGGCGCGTGATCCGCCAAAGCGGCGAGAAATTCTAAGGCGGCCAAGAGAAACGAGCAAGTATTCGGCATGTCGTGAACCGGTCCTCGTACTGATAAACAACATTTCGCCAGTTGTTCTACGACGCCTACGCACACTGAGAAACTGAAAAAAAAAGAAAAAAAATTAAGAAAAAAAATATTAAAAAAAAAAAGTTAAAAAAATCGGGTTTATATTTGCCCTACTCTACCCTAAACACATTGAGAAACTGTAAAAAAAGTAGAAAAAGTAAAAACAAGTTAAAAAAATCGAGTTCCAATTTGCCCTAATCTACCCTAAGCACACTGAGAAACTGAAAAAAAAGTAAAAAAGTAAGAAAAAGTAAAAAAAGTAAGAAAAAGTAAAAAAAGTAAGAAAAAGTTAAAAAAAATCGAGTTCCAATTTGCCCTACTCTACCCTAAACACACTGAGAAACTGTAAAAAAAGTAAAAGTCAAAAAAAATTAAAAAAATCGAGTTCATATTTGCCCTACTCTACCCTACACACGTTGAGAAACTGAAAAAAAGAAAAAAAAAGTAAAAAAAGTTAAAAAAAAATCGAGTTCCAATTTGCCCTACTCTACCCTAAACACACTGAGAAACTGTAAAAAAAGTAAGTCAAAAAAAATTAAAAAAATCGAGTTCATATTTGCCCTACTCTACCCTACACACGTTGAGAAACTGAAAAAAAGAAAAAATAAGTAAAAAAAGTTAAAAAAAATCGAGTTCCAATTTGCCCTAATCTACCCTATGCACACTAAGAAACTGAAAAAAAAATAAAAAAGTCAAAAAGTTAAAAAAAAAGTTAAAAAAAATCGAGTTCCAATTTGCCCTAATCTACCCTACGCACACTAAGAAACTGAAAAAAAATAAAAAAGTCAAAAAGTTAAAAAAAAAAAGTTAAAAAAAATCGAGTTCCAATTTGCCCTAATCTACCCTACGCACACTGAGGAACTGTAAAAAACAAATAAATTGAAAAAAAAAATTAAATTGTTCGATTTGATAATTCCGGACAGCTCCGAACCGTTCGGAATTAGAACTGTTTTTATCTACCAATTCCTAATCATTTTTAAACAACTCATATTCATTCTGAATAAAAAAAATAGTTCGATTTGCTAGTTCCGGACTGTTCCGAACCGTTCGGAACCGACGCGGCCGTTCAAGTTCGAATTCAATTTGCCGTTTTCTATACAGATAGAGATTGAAATGTTTATGGGAATTTGACAAAAATAAGTTATAGTTGGAATTCTGAACAGAACCAGTTCGAAACAGTTATAAACGATTGACTATCGGTCGATCGATTCGAAACATCTCTTATTCATTCTGAATCAATAAAAAAAAAGTCAAAAGAATCGTTCGATTTGATAGTTCAGGACTGTTCCGAACTGTTCGGAATCGCTACTGACACCGTTTGAGTTCGAATTCAATTTGTCGTTTTCTATAAAGAGATTGCAATGTTTATAGGAATTTGACTTGAAAAAATTTATAACCTATAATAGGTACAATCCTGGACAGAACCAGTTCTAAACAGTTTTAAACGATTCACTATCCATCGATCGATCGATTCGCTATGGAATCGTTTTAGAACTGTTTCTATCGACCGATTCTTAATCATTTTTAAACAGCTCTTTTTCATTCTGAACCATTCTGAATCATTTATGAACAATTCTTATTCATTCTGAACCATTCTGAATCATTTATGAACAATTCTTAATCATTCTGAACCATTCTGAACCAGAATTATTCAGAACTATTATAAACGATTCTTAAACGATTAAGATTTAGTCCAAATTAGTCCGAATAATCTCGAACTGTACCGATACAATTCTGAAAAATCTTGAATAATTCTGAAACGTTCCTCAGCAGTTATTATTAAAACAGTTCTGAATCGTCCTGAAATGGTCCTGTACCATTCCGAACTCCCAGTTCCATAAAATATGTAGTTCCGAACGATTCGAAAACGTTTCGATCAATTACGAACCGATTCTGAACAATCTCGAACGGTCCTAAACCCGTTTATTATCAAAATAATGCCTCATTGTAAACCATACAAATCGAATTTCCCACCCGTAAATCATATTTATTATACGATATTATATCAAGTGGGCCGCGAGTCGCGTTTCGTTTGTTTCTATACATACACAGCACACTTGTAACAGGGTATACAGGGTGTCTCATAAGTTGATACTTTTTTTTAACTGCGTGTAGATCATTTAATTCTGACCAATTTTTCAAGTAAATTTTTTTAATATCCTGGAAAAAATAGATAGAAAATAGAAAATTTCCATCTTTTTATTTTCCAAAATATTAAAAAAAATTACTGGAAAAAGTTGCCTACAATTAAAAGATCTATACGGAGTTAATCAACTTATGAGACACACTGTATGTATTAGTCGAAAAAATAATAAATAATAAATAATTCTGAACAGGTCCATATTTTTTTAGGAACTATTTTTTTAATAATTAAAAATTGAAAAAAAAACATGCTCTCTTATTTGCCAGAATATTAAAAAAATTTACTTGAAAAAGTCGCTTAAAATTAAAAGATCTACTATCTCTTTTTCTAAAAGAAAAAGTATCAACTTATGAGACACCCTGTATGTACTTAGTCTCTCATAGGCCACTCGAAAGCGGGACACAGTACAGAGAGATAATAAAAAGAAAGAGAGAAAGCCAATGTACTTGTGATAAGTGCGAGAAAGAATCGAGAAATATCTGCGGCTTGATTTTTTTTTGTGCTGGTCCTTCTAAAGAAATTTTAAATATTTTTTTTTCGAGTACTTTTAATCGGTCGATGAACTTATACATACAGGATGTCTCATAAGTTGATACTTTTTTTAACTGCATATAGATTTTTTTTAATTCTAAGCAACTTTTCCAAGTAAATTTTTCTAATATTTTGGAATGTAAGAGAGCAAGTTTTTTTTTCAATTTTTAATTTTTAAAAAGTTATTTAATACGGTCCTGTTCATTGACAGCAGTGATGTTAAAATTACTTAATAATACGTAATTAATTACAATTACAATTACTTTTGGCAATTTGTAATTAATTGCAATTACAATTACAAAATTTGCGAATGTAGTTACAATTACAATTAAAGTTACAATTACAATTACAATCACAATTACTTTGCTTTGGTGTCAGTTTAAAATAATTATTTAGGGATTTGCAATCGGAATTAAACTTTCCACGTATTGAAAATATTAAATAAGTACTTTTGTGTCCAATGTAATTGAAATGTAATTGTAAAATGTAATTGTAATTGTAACGAAAGGAGTAATTGAATTACAAATGAATTACAATTGAGGAGCTTGTAATTAATTACCGCCTCAATTACAATAAAAGTAATTCAATTACTTGTAATTAATTACTTAACAACACTGATTGACAGTTAAAAAAACTGCTCAAAATTGTCGCCATTTTGATTGGAAACGCTTTGGAAAAACTCTCCATAAATAATCAGAATGTCCGCCAATTTATTATTGATATAAAATTGAGCCATTTTCTATTCAACAATCGAAAAATTAAATTTTTGTCATTAAATATTTATTATTTTTTTGACACCTGTGTGGTAATTGCAGGTACGTATTGGATAAAATTCGAAATTTCAAGAAATTTTAAAAATCTTCATCTTTTTTATTTTCCAAAATATTAAATCAATTTACTCGAAAAAGTTGCTTACAATTAAAAGATCTATACGGAGTTAATCAACTTATGAGACACCCTGTATGTATTAGTCGAAGAAATCGCGCGACTATCCAGAATTTTTTTTCAATTGCACTTAGCATAGCGATTATATACGAGGGGCGAAACGAAAATAATTACGTTAATGCATATTGGAATTTCCATTGGAATTGAATAAACAATAGGGGGGCGAGCGGGGAAGGAAAGAGCTGAGGGGGGGCGAGTGGAGACGAGGAATTAATCGGTTACGCTCCGTCGAAGACGTCACATCGACGAACACGGGGAGAAGACAGAAATCTATCACTATATTTGTATACGAGTGTAGTTCGTATATACAGGTTGTCCCAAGTTTATCTAAAATTTTTTATATCTTCAAAACTACTAGGTTTAGGTGTAGGGGAGTGAACGTTGCCTTATTTTGACCGCTGATTTCGATAAAATAGAAAAAAATTGGTGGTTTCGTTTAAAAAAAATGAAAAAATTTGATATTTTTGAAGTTCAACTTTAGGCACTTTTTGTACACACCCTGTATAAAATAAAAAGTTTTTTACCACAGATTCAAATACCTTTAACCTTACTAGTAGCCCTCATACAGAAACCGTTTCCATATCTTTAAGGGAATCCCCGTAAAAAAATAATTTATTCTAAGAGTCTACATCGGTCAAAATTTTCCAAAAAAAATTTAATAACTCAAAAAGTAAGCATTTTTGAAAAAAGCGTTCCAGACAAAAATACCCCAAAATTTCACGTAGATTTCGAAAACACATCAATATACAGGGCGTTCCATTTAAAATAACAAAGTTAACGCCTACTTCCGGTACATCCGGAAATAGTACGACTGTCAAAATATTTTCAATAACTTCCTCTTAATGCATAACATATACATACCAAATATTAATTAAATCGGATAAATAGTTTCCAATATACGGATAGTTTTAACTCGTCGTGGGACATCCTGTATATACGGTGGAGGAATAATAACGATATATAATCGAAGCAATCGAGCAATCCGTGCTCGAACGGACTTAGCGTTGATTAAAAAATAATAAAAAGGGACGTACATGTGATGGGGAGAGAGCAAAGGGAGCGAGAAAGAGAGAGATAGGAATAGATGAGAAACAATAGCGAATCGAATGCGTATTTATATTTACACGAATTCGAGCGTATTCTAAGCACATATCGAAGTAGCCCGGGATATAGTCCAGATCCGGAACGGGTCGGGATTTAAAAAGTCAATTTTTGGACGGTTTCGGATCATTCCGAACTGTTCCGATTCGTTCTGAAGCGATCCGAGCTATTTTGGAAAAATTATAACCGTTCAGAACTGTTCTGGATCATTCCGAACGGTTCCGATTCGTTCTGAAGCGATCCGAACTATTTTGGAAAAATTAGAACCGTTCAGAACTGTTCTGGATCTTTCCGAACTGTTCCAATTCGTTCTG